TTTAGGATTTTTTGATTTTTTTTAAACCTTCTAGTATCTCAATTACACCTGAGTGCATTTATTTCTAAATGTGGTTTTAGAGATGCAGAAAGTCCTGCTGAGTACCAGTGTCCTCCTCAGAGCAGGATCCTTCTCTCCCTGCCTATGGATCAGGCAAAACATTCCCAGGGAATCCCAGCAGGAGCAAATGGCACATTTTTCATTGAGAAATGAAAATTTTCAGGAATTCCTGCTGCTGGAGGTGCCAGGGTGCTGTCCCTGCGTGCTGTGCCCTTTTTCCATGGTGTGGCAGCAGCTGAGCTCAGGGTGGGGGTTTCTGATTCACAAAAATCAGCAGCACAATTCCCAAAGCTGCAGATTCCTGGGGCTGCACCGACCCTAAACCTTGCTTTCACCCTCTGCACAGCCCTGCAAAGGTCGTGTTTCTGAGCAAATGAATTAAATGCATTGAATAAATTGAGAAATGGATGGTTTCTGAATGAGTATCACTGAAATTGTAATATTTCTCTGGGCAAAGTGGGTTTTCCACCTGGCCGAAGCTCTGGTGTGAATCCCCTGGTCCAGGCAGCAGCTGGACCCTGCTCCTGGCCTGTCATTAGCACAGGACACATGGTGACAGCACAGGACACATGGGGACAGCACAGCCCTGCCCTGCCCAGCTGCCAGGGATCAGCTGGGGCTGCTGAGCCCCTCACTGGGCACAGCCAAGCTCAGCACAAAGCCCAGCCTGGGGGCTGGGGGCAGAACTGGTGACAAACGACAGCAAAATGGGTTTGATCCATCACTTATCCCCCCACACACAGCAGCAGAAAACAGTATTTCCTAAAAATGAGCACTCCTTCCCTCTTTTGAGCTCCAGTTCTCCTTGCAAACAGCTCTGCAGGATGTGGCCAGTCCTTACCCTCAGTGCAAAGACTGAAATTACTTGGCATTTTCCTCATCACACAGTGACCTCAATTCTTGAAACATTTCCATTACCCATTTTCTAGGAATCAATGCAAAATCGTCATTTTTTTGAGGTAATATACAGCTCAACTTTAACCTCGTTTTTTTCCAAGAGAATGTGGAAGTAACCAGTCTGGGTCATTCCTGATAGTTTTTAATAAACTTATTATTACTCAATGTACACTGAAAAAAACCCTCATCCTCCTCAGCCACTGATAATATAAATATAATCCAAATTTGCTGCTGTTCCTGAGACAGGGTTAATCTGGATTATATTTTTAAAATTAGGACCACTGTGTGTTAGTGGTCAGTTAGTGATGTGCAAATCAGCTGAACACACACATTGCAAAGGGACCCTGCCAGATACAGATTTCACCCTCTACCCACTAGAAATGAAATCAGGAAAGTCATTAAATGAACTGCAGCAGAAAGAAAAGAACCCAGTACTTACATTGACCTTCATTTTGCTGCCTGTTTCCCTGTTAGTCCATCACCTGAGGAGGAGGAGGAGGAGGAGGAGGAGGAGGATGTTCCCAGCCCTACCAGTGGGTCAGGCAGCACTGGAGGCTCTGGCTGGGAGCCTGGAGGGGAAAGCTCAGCCTCTGCCACCTCCTGCTCACTGGGAGCCCAGGAAAGCTGCTCTGGGAATGGGGGGAGCTCATTACGTAGCAGAATTCTCTCCAGGGAGCCGCTGGGCTGCAGCTGGTGATGTGCAGGACACACAGAGTGCCCTGCAGGGAGAGCCTTCGCTGCTCTGAACAGAAATCCCAGGGCAGCAGGGCTGGACCACGAAGAGGATTGGATTTGGAAGCATTTTTGCAGCAGCATTTTTTACTCCTGGTTTGTTGTGCTTGGGGTTTTTTGGCCTTTTAGGTTTTTATTTTTTTAACTTCAAAGTGGTGTGAGGTTTGATAGACTTATCCACTGTCTCTATAAAACTGACCAGAACTCCTTTGTGGTTATAAATCCCCTGTAAAACAACCTCCCCCTGCAGAGGCAGAAAACCCGAGGAGGAAAACTGAACATGACCTGCAGCTGAAGGGTTTTGTTTCTTTGACTATTCTAAAAAAATCCTTGAATATTATTAAGGCACAATGTTATTTAAAATTATTAATGGTTATTATTTGCTTGGCAACAACTGAGTCCACGTCATGCTGGTGCACAGGTTTTACCACTTTGGACTCAGGATATCTTGGGGTTTGCAAATTTTCTGCTTTTGCCTTTGTACATGCTGGCTTTTCTCTGGTAAAAGCCTTTTCCTTCCTCTTTCCACAGTAGCTTCAAGATTAAATTAGACGCTGGCTCTCAAAGCCACAATCCTGTAGCTAGAAAACAATTCAATATCTTGAATGGAAAATGCTGAATTTAAAAGCTTCAGCAACAAAATTTACACCCCTGGGCTGGGAGCAAACCAGCTGCTGTCCAGTGGAGAAAGAATTCCTGGCACAAAGCAGCCCATTTCAATGCCTTTGTGGTTTTTTTCTCTCTCTCTTTTTTTTTTTTTTTTTTTTTTTTTTTTTTTTTAGTATCAGAAGCAGACACTTCATGCAGGTGATTAGGACCCATTCATTTGCTATCCTGGAGTTTTTCAGGTGCTTCAGGATTTGAAATGATGGAGAAATATCAAACCCACAACTTGTGGCTGCAGAACTACTTTCAAATACAGCTGAATGTTCCCAGGAGTGAACCCCAGAGGGGATTCCTGCATGGCAGGGACCCCTCCCACTGTCCCAGCTGCCCCCAGCCCCAGTGTCAGCCTGGCCTGGGACACTGACAGGGATCTGGGCATCCCAGCCTCACAGGGAAGGATTTCTCCCTAAAATCCAATCTAAACCTATTCTCTGTCACTTTGAAGCCAATCCCTGTGTGCTGTCCCTCCATCCCTGTCCAAACTCTCTCTCCATGGTTCCTGCAGCTCCTTCAGGTCCTGCAAGGTTACACTGAGCTCACCCCAAATCTTCTCCTCTCCAGGTGAACAATCCCAGCCCTCCCAGCAGAGCTGCTCCACCCCTGGGATCATCCTGGAGCCTCCTCTGGACCCTCTCCAGCAGCTCCAGCTCCTTCCAGACCCCAGGGCTGGGGCAGCCCTGCAGGTGAGGTCTCACCTGAGCAGGGCACAGGGGCAGAATCTCTGCCGTTCCCCACACTGTATTTGTGGGTGAGGTGGGAAGATGTGAACGGGGCATTTTAGGAGAGAGAAACTCCAGATCCACTTCACACACATCCAAACCCTCTCCCATTTTCCCTCTGGCAGCAGCTCAGCCAAAGCTGCCCCAGTGCAGGAGCCCGTGGAGCTCACGGGGTTTGAAATTGCAGCAAGGGCTGCAACGCTTCCTGTGCTGCCCCTGGAAACGCAACAACAACCCAGCAACAGCAACATTTGCTGCCTGGACCCAAACTGAAATCACTCTCAGAGGTGTTTTCCCTGTGCAGGTGTAATAGTTGGGGCACAGGGATAATTGCAGAGCATTTCCTGTCCCAGCAACACTGCTGAGGGTTGGTGCTTCAAGGAGTCCAGAGAGCAGAAAAAAAAAAAACCCTTTGTGTTTTTATATTAGTCAAATATTATAATGAACTGTACTGCCAGGGTGGTGGGGGCCTTATAAAAATGATACTGCAGAAATAAGTTTGGTTTTTTATCACTCAGGTGAAGTTGGGTGGCTCTGGGCCACGTCTAAAATGCTCACAGCAGAACAGGAAATCAGTTTGCTACTGTTACATTGATTTATTGACAATCCACTCAAGAGAACTGGAAATATATCTAGAAATAGAAAATGCCTCTGTATAGAGATGAAAAACGTCCTGCCCCAATTACTGATGACTCAATGTTAAAAGTAGACCCCTAATCTTTACAAGCCTTGATGGAAAATTTTGAATGTAAAAAAATGACTCACTGAGCTCCTATTAAGCTTTTCCCCCCACTACATTTTCTATGAAATTTCCAGGAGGCAGTTTATTTACAGTAAACACTAAGATAATAATCCACGATAAAAATCTTAATTCCATGACACTTATTAGACTTGCAGACAGCAGGACGGCAAGGCACTGACTTTGAAGCAAGATTTCAGCATTCTCCAACCCTTGCAGCTGCAGCAGGGCCTCTATTCTGTATTAAACTAATCTAGATGGAATATGGATACAGAAATAAATGTAACAAACCTTATAGACTGGGTCCAGTCTTTCAAAATAGGAACACAGAATGTTTCAAAATGATTTCTGGTTTGCATGTAACATAAAGAAATTATGTCGTGCAAGAGGGCACCAGGGCTGTCACTGGAAGTCTCTGGAAAGGATCTGTGTCTCTAATGTCACTGCAGCATAGCAGTGAGGTGGAACCCTGACATTGTATCTTTATAATTTCACAAATGTGGTTATTTCTGGGTATTTGTTTTCAATCCTGCTTTATTCAGGATCCTCGCCAAGAAGACATTTCTCCCAGTCAGTTTTTGTCACCATGGAAAGCACAGGGGGACATCAGGTACAAAGAGCCCTCTGTCCCCTCGAGATGAGGAACCCAAAAACTTCACAGAACCACTGAGGTTGGGAAAGAGCAGAGACCTCCAAGCTGTGCCCCATCCCCACCTTGTCCCCAGCCCAGAGCACTCGGTGCCACCTCTAGGAATTCCTCGAACACCTCCAGGGATGGGGATCCAAACCTCGCTGGGCAGTTCCAATTCCTGAGTGCCTTTTCCATGAGGAAATTCCTGCTGGTGTCCACCCTGCCCTCCCCTGCCCAGCCTGAGGCCGTTCCCTCTCCTGTCCCTGCTCCCTGGAGCAGAGCCCGACCTGGGGCTGTCCCCTCCTGTCAGGGACTTGTGCAGAGCCACAAGGGCCCCCCTGAGCCTCCTTTGCTCCAGGCTGAGCCCCTTCCCAGCTCCCTCAGGAATTCTCCAGCCCCTTTCCAGCTCTCTCAGCCCCTCCTGGCGCTCCAGCCCCTCAACGTCTCCCTTGCTATGAAGAAACTGGAGGTGCCCCATCAGTGCTACTTCCCATCACCAAGAATCCCACTGAATTCAAACATCAAACGCTTCCCTACCCAAAAACCCCAGACCTACCTTTGCAGCTGCGTTGCTCCTTGGGCTTGCATCCATTGCTGCCATTCCCCACCTGGAGCAATGCAGAGAATCACGGCGGGCTGGGGACACTTGAGCCGTGCCCAGGCACTGGGAACTCCCCCTCGGCAAAGTCCATCTGACAGCTCTGCCCCTAAGGCACTTGCAGGTTGTGAACAAGCTTAAGATAGTATTTGAGATAACAGAAGATAAAAGGAAGGCAGAATAAAAACCAAAAAAGGCTCTTGTGGCGGCTAGAAGTGAGAAAATGATGTGTGCAAGTGGGATTCGCCTTGGTCTTTCTGCCACCAACTTGCAATTAAGCAGCCGAGTGTGAGCCCTGTGCTCGTGCTCCTGTTTCCTCTTTTGCAGAGTGAGATCAGGGCCATGGCACAGGGAGGAGCTGCACAGCCCCGCTAACACACCACAGTCCCAGCAGGGCAGGATTTCCCAGCCAGCCCTCCTGGCTTTCCAAGTGCTCCGGCCTTGCACGGCCCATCAGATCAGGAATACTCCGGCACCTCCCGAGCTCCACAGGGAAGGCGTTTGCACAGTCAGGGACTGGTTTGGGTTGAAGGGACCTTAGGGAGCACCTCGTTCCATGGGCAGGGACACTTTCCAGCAAACAGATCGCTCCAAGCTCCATCCAACCCGGCCTTGGACATTAAATTTCACCCTGGGGCTGCATTCTCCCCCTCAATAGGATGAGTTCTGTCTCTCCCAGCCCTTCTTTCTCCAACACAGACCCACCAACCTTGTGGCCCGAGGAGGATGTCCAGGATATGGAAAGGCAGCAGGGTGCCAGTGGCAGGATGGTTTTGTGTCAAAAAGTAACTTTTTTGCTCTTGCATTGCTGAGTTCAAGCCCAGAACTATGGAAGCTTGAGGTGAGAGCTCCCAGGCTTGACAACCACAGCAGTGCTTTCACATATAAACCACAGAAAGATTTTAAAAGCAGATTCCAAACACCAGTAACAAGTGCATGAATTATGGACAGGTGCTTTAGCAGAATTAAAAAAAATGTAGCACTCCAAAAATAAAAAGCCACTGCTGTCACCCACCCCACATCGTCCCTCAGGGACTGTGTCAGAACTTCCCTTTTCCCTCCCCAGCTCTGCTTCTCCTCGTTTCTCCTCCTTAAAAAATAGGCACCAGCACCACTATCTCCTACCACCACTGCTTCTGAAGGGTCACAAACTCAGAGGCACAGGAGGAGCAAAGAGGATTAAAGCCTCAGAATGTTTTGCATTTTGCAAAGAGAAAATGAAATTTAATTCTTTTAAAAAATAACCATCCCACATTCTACATTTTGAGTCTGTAATTGTACCTGATTCAGGTGGAACACAAATTCATCATTCTGAATTCCCCAAGCCCCAGCCTCCCCTATTTGCCATTTCTCCTTTGTTACAGAGAAAACAAATGCAATTCCTTCTTTATGTATCAAAGAGCTTTTCAAAAGGCAATCTTTATTTAAATACAGACAAAACCTGTACCCTCACCAGCCCTTGACAATTCCTCAGTGTAATGGGAGTTAATCCAGCAGCAAGAACCACCTCACATTTAAAAACCCTAACAAGGCAAGTGCTGAGCTCTGACCAAAGGATCTCCCACCTGCGATGCCCAAGAGCTCTGCATGAGGAGGCCTCAAAAAACAAGTTTAAGACTCTGCTCAGGCAGATCTCTGGGAGAATAAGTAGTGAATTTTCCAACTTAGAGAAGTTTTAAGCACAGTTTCTTAACAATGGGCACTGGGTTTGTGACTAATTTAAAAAGAATGTAATTGAAGTGCTGTGTAACAGATGAACATTTCTCAGTCAAATGAAACAGTGACATTTCTGAGGTACACATACAAAAATTCAGATGCATAAGTTTCTTTCTTTGAGAGGATACTAAAGGTCTCTAAGGCAAAATTATTCTCATTTTCACCTGCAGCAGCACTGTCACATTTAGTTGCAATGTGGATATTCCTTTAAACTATTAGGAATTCATTTTGAGGTCCCATTTGTTAAGATAAATTCAAAAGAGGATGAGATGAAATCTGAATTTTAACGCCAGAACTAGAAGACCATTCTTTGACTTCATCCAAACAATTTAAAATCCTGTGTGAACTTTATGGCACAACTCAGAACTGAAGGCCTACTTGGCCAATGAACAAGAAACACAAAAAACAATTCACCAAAACCCTAGACTGAAAGATACAAACCAGAGCTTTACAAATAATGAATTGTGGCTGAAGGCAGCTTAAGGCTTCATTAAAGTATCTACACCAAGTTCTGCTGCTCTTTGTGTGATCTATTCTCTACCACAGTTCAGTGGGATTGCACAGACACAACACAGAGCAGAACTGGCTCCTTCTGCCCCCTCTGAGCAGGACACAGTCCCGTTCTCTCGTGTGTGATTCAGACAGGCACGGGAACAAGCTTAACCCTTCCTGCCAGAGTAATTTTATTCTCCACCCCCTCCCTTCAGTACAATTAGAGATGACTTACAAAAATTAAACCACGCACACTAATAAAAAAATTAGTGTGAGGTGAAGAGTCTCAGTATTTGTTCTTTTCCTGCCACGTCTGACAGAATCCAAAGAGGCCCCAGAGGCAGCACAACCGCGCAGGGGTGCAGGAGCTGGGAAATCCTGGCTGGGAAGCTCTCCTTAGTCTGTGGTGGATCTCCTGTACCAGAACCTGGCCCTGTAGTCGTCGCTGCAGGTCATGAAGCCGGGGTTGGTGGGGGAGTGCACGATGCAGCGCACGATGCTGTTGTGGCCCAGGGACAGCAGGTTCCTGCGCTCGGCAGTCCTGGAGTCCCAGCAGCACAGGCTAATGGTCCTTTCATCTGGCAGCAGCACATAATCCTCCGTGTGGTTGAACACAGCCTGAGTCCTGTGCACCTGGCGGCCGCTCAAACCAGCACCTAAACACAGGCAGCAAAACAGGCATTTTAGCAAGTTTCAATACCTAACAAGAATTTTCCCTAAGTATCAATTTTTTACAAAGGACCTGCATTTTCTCTGCTGTTCAACCACTTCCACGAGCAACAGGTGATGCAAGCATGAATATTCTTTTATAGTTATATCACAGGACAGAAAGATTTGAGTCCCAGCTGTGCCCCAGCCCCAAGCACTGAGTGCCACCTCCAGGAATTGCTTGGATTCCTCCAGGGATGGGCACTCCAAACCTCCCTGCCAAGGCCTGACCACCCTTTCCATGGGGAAATTCCTGCTGCTGTCCATGTATATATTCTAAAATTCCTTAGGGGACAGGAATACTCCAGCTGTGCCACATCCAATCCTTTACCTTCAGGAGTATTTCTGCCTTATGTTTTTTTGCATGAGGCTTTCAGCTGTGACCAAGGACAAAGAACACAGAGAGGAGAATCCAGAGAGCCTGAGGATCCTTTTCAGTGTATTTATCACACAGCACACGCTGTATGACCTCTCTTGGCCACAGTGCTTCCTACAGGCACTGGCACTGCACAGCTCCTGCCTGGGATCCCGCGCAGCTTTCCCGGGAAACTGCTGCTCCCTGCTGGCCGGGAGCACGAGAGCTGGACTGCAGAAAGGGACCTACAAACCCCAAAAGCTGACACACACCATTTCCAGCACTTTTTGTGCTCCTACACATCAGTGCTTGACCCCAAAGCCTCTCACACAGCTGCTGTCACATGTAAAGCTTCCACAGCCTTCGTTATTCCCTAAATCCTGCTGAGATCCAAGCATGGCACTGTCAGCATGCTCCAAGGATGGCTACATTGCACACAACAGCATCCTTGGAAAAAAATACACAAAAAGGGGAACAAACCAGCTGTAGGTACATTTCAGAGTATTGCCATGGCTACAGAGCCACAGAGTTAATGGTTAAATCAACTGCTCTGAAGTAGCTTCAGTATTTCTTCTTACTTTTCTCTAATTCAGTGAAGATTTCCCTCCAGAACAATGGAGTGAGTAATGATGTTAGAAAAAGCTCCAAAATCTACTCAGACAAAAGCATGTTTGCACTGATACACAGAATCACAGCTTCTCTTCTAGAACCGGTCTAATGGAAATGTTTTCAAAAATCTTGGGCAATTTATCCTCAAAGCAGCAGTTTCTCCATTGCCTTTAGGAATGATTATATTTCCAGCCCTGCCATGGCTCAGCACCTGGAAAAGAAGGTGTCTGGAAGGTCACCTGCCACATACCTGTGTATTTCACCAGCGTCCGACCAGTGGATATCTCCCAGAGCTTAGCCACAGAGTCTTTCCCACTGGACAAGATATACTTGGAATTTTTGGAAAAAATAGCAGAACAGACTTCAGCTCCATCGTGTGCCTTCTCAAAGGTGGTGATGCAGCGGTTGGAGACGCCATCCCAGAGTTTGATGCAGCCATCCTTGCTGCCTGTCACGTACATGTTGGCGCTGGCGTTGTAGTTGACGGAGCAGATGGCATCGGTGTGCTGGTCCTGGGGGTTGCAGGACACGAAGCACTGGAAGGTGTTGATGTCATACAGACGAAGGGTTGGGTGCTGGGTCCCCACCAGGATGAAATCCCCAGAAGGGTGGAAAGAAATGGAGCGTAACATCTCTGCTTCCTGTAGGATTAAAAATGCACGGCGGGGTGAGGGAGGGGAAGAGCTGAACTGGAAGGGTCGGTGCTGCTGGTGGTAAAGTGTTCAAAACTACTTGAATTATCAGCACCAACTGGGAAATGTTTCCTGTGGGACTGAAATGACAGGCTGCCCGTGGCTGTATTGTAGTTTTTGTCGTAGAGCAGCCTGTGGTGCCCCCTTATTTTAGGATATGACGCCCCCCAAGCCCACCACCACTAACACTCCTCCAAAACAAAGATAACAGAATTGACTTCTAAGTTAATTCAGATTAGAGTTGGTCTAATGAATGAAAAGTTGACAGGCTCTAGATTTAAATACAAGTGTCCATGATGCACAGAATTAAGACACAATGTCTGCGAATGTTTTACCTGTGTGCCCCTGCACCCCTGATCACCTGAGGCATAGCTCAGCTCACAACACCTCAGCACTCAAATATCTGAGCTTTGGCTTCTCTGACTAGTATCTCACCTGGATGTATTTGAAGGCTCTTTTGGCAGAAGGTTTTGAATAATCAAACAATTTAAGTGTGTAGTCCCTCGAGCCAGATGCCAGGATCTGCTCTGTTGGGTGGAAAGCTAAACATGTCACTTCATCCACGTGATCATAGAGAGTCCGGATCACAGGGTGGTTCTCCATGTTCTGCTGTGCTGTCTCATTCATCATGACCTACAAAAAACATTCAACACGTTGCTGTTGGAAAATAAAGCAGGTTTTTGACAGGAAAAGTAGGTTTTAGACTTGCCAGAGTGGCTGAACAGCAGCTCCTTTCTGACACACAATCTGTTCCCTTAGTTATTTGAAGGCCCTTTATATAACAAATAAG